GTGTATGTACTGCTTCTCAATTGTAAATGCGTAAACAGTGTTAGACTGGTACATGCATTCTTTTCCCCTTGCTTTTGTTTATAATATTTTTTTAATGTGTGTAAAATGTGTATATCAAATAAATAGTTCTTTCTTTCTTTCTTTCTTTCGAAGAGCACCTAAAATATTGATTAATATTCAAAATTTCTTCTTATTTAAATATCACGCAAATAACGGTTTAGAGCGGCCCCCACTCGACGAATTGACGACCTAGTAAGATGTGCAAGAAGTTGAAGGACACAGGTGAACCATATTTTGTGGCATTACTTGATGGAGGCCTATGTAGCCAGCAGTAGACTTGTGAAGGGCCATAATCAACGGATGGATATACAAGGAATTTCACATTGGCAATGAATTTAAAAACATTCAAATTTCAATTTCAATAGAAGATGACGGGGCGTTACAGTAGGTTGGTCGTAGCAAAGACATACCGCCAAATGATGCAAGTCGTTTTCCGGTATGATGTTAGGTGAAACCCATTTCATTGGGAGAACGTATGGACAGTTGCGTTGCGCATAAGAACCGGTTGCAGCGCGGCCATTTCTTAGTATCAAGTGCCTGGTTATGGAGGTTATCGGGATCCGAAGCACAGTTGCACCGCTGACCGACCAAAGATAGTTGGAACCCAATTAATGAGCCAGCCACTCATGAAAGGCTACCCCGCCATCTTACGAAAAATCCTGAAATGGCTCCACCATGCCGGTTGATGATTATTCTATTCTATTCTATTCTATTCTATTCTATTCTATTCTATTCTATTCTATTCTATTCTATTCTATTCTATTCTATTCTATTCTATTCTATTCTATTCTATTCCATGCTGTGACTATGTTTACGTCCCTGGATTATATGTGTGACGACTTGTTAACTGCCATTCTCTCAAGTCTCAACCTACTTACTTTATCAATAATGAATAAAAGGAAAAAAAAGTCCAAGTACACCTCACAAACATCCGAGATCTGCACTGTAATGTCAACCACCTGGAGACTGACAAACCATACCTTGGCTGTCATAGGTACACATTGAAGCATAATTTCCACCAGCGCGCCGGAGCCTGTGTGTGTACGCAATGCCATCTGCTGTAAGCATCTCCGTCACCTTGAAGACCCCGCTTTCACCACGATCTGGGTATATATAGACCCATGAATTAATAAAATTATTTGTTCTTGTGTTACCTACCGCACAGCGGTGACCAAGAGATAACTAGACTGTGATGATGTGTCGCCATCTGGTTTTCTGGGGGACTTTAATGCTTATTATCAGGACTGGCTGTTCTTAAACCAGAAGACTAACAACGCTGAGAGAGAGGCGTGAAATTTTACCTTGTTGCTGGGGCTCTCACAGCTGCTGGACTAGTGACTAGTGTAACCGATGGTGTGGTTGTGGACACACAGCCAACTGCCTTGACTTTCTGGTGATGACCGATCCGGACAGATACGATGTTCATGTTACCTCCCCTTGGGAACTTCTAACCAGTGTCTGGTGAAATCTGTGTCGGTATATTCCCCACCTAACTACGACTTCCAAGGTATGCGGCGAATGTGGTGATACAAGTCAGCAGATTAGGACGAGATGCGGCATTTCTTTACATCTTATCCGCGGCGGCCGCGGTAGCTCTGTTTCTCGTCTGAAGATCCATATTGATGCCATAACTCACGTGATACGTCAAGCGATAGCGTATTTCATCCCCTTTTCTGACGTGCCCATTGGTGGTAAAGCTCACCCATGGTTTAACGCCAAGTGCGTTCGTGCTGCGAAGCCCAAGCATATGGCGTACTTATCTTGGGTTGATGCTTGAGACCGCAAAGCTCCGGATGTATGTTATCGTGGTAGAGCCATGCTACAGCTATATTAATAGTATAGTTGTAGCACGAATGACCACGCTCTCACAGAATACCAGCGTAAACTAGCAGCTTAAATCTGCTGTGTTTCATTTGGTGAGTGTAGAGACCCGGAGAACCTATTTACTGGAAACGAGACATTCCATCTTAGTCCTCACGGGTGACAACGCATTTGCATTTGGATTCTTAATCGATAATAGATGTAGATAGACATCTATAGGCCACAGCAACCACTTACCATCAGGTGAACTGTGTGCTTGCTTGTCACCTTTATACTATAAAAAAAATGTTAGCCTTAGGAAGAGAGCCTTTAACCAAGCCACCAAGTTTTGTAAAAAGGCATTACGGCAAGCTAGTTTCAACCGCATTGAACGCATCGGTGCAAAGCTCTGTCTCAAACCATCTGCCAGTAGAGCTTTTTGGTTTCTCGCCAAATCAGTTGAAACAAACTCTCATCCAGGACTGAAATAGTGCCCACATCTTGGAAGCTAGCCAAAGTGCAGCCTGTGCCTTAAAAGGGCAGGCGTGCCAAACCTGACAACTATCGGCCAATTTCAATTACCTCCATACTCTGAAATATTATGGAGAGTATATTGAACTCCCACCTCATGGCACACCTATAGTAGAATGATCTCTTCAGCAATTGACTGTTGTCGGCTTCATTTCGGCATTGTGATGTAGGAGCGTGAGCCCAAGCTTGTTGTTTTGCAATACTTACTTGATGTGCTGAAGCTCGGCGACCAGATGTTTTCTGTCACACATCCCTTGTGCCCTCTGAAACATTAGAAAATTACTTTCACTTAATGTGTAGTATTCGCGTAAATATAAGAAATTTAATTAATAAAGTAATAATTAATTAGAAAATTAAATTGTCATTTATAATTTTGAAAGGTACTCTACTATCTCTCAACTGCATATATAATCTGCAACAGTATGTCGTATGCAAATTACCATTTCATTTTTTTTATTACTGCACTTAACCATTTCTACTACGATTCTAACTCTATGAAATAAGTATCAACCAAGTCATATCTATAATTGTATTTTCTGTGTCAGATGCATCTTAGTTTTTTAGAGAATAAGGATGTCAAACTGACGAGACTTTAACTGAAGAGATTTCTACCACATGTAAAGCTTGAAGGCTTAAACATTTTTTGTCACGCTTGGCTATTAATGAAGCCTTGTACTGTAATCCGTAGTGGCGTGTAGTAGCTGTGTTGGGGGGCGTAGGAGAATTCAGTACTCCATATGCAGGAAAGCTAAGCATGAACTTTCTAATAACAACTAAAAGAAAATAAAAATAAAAACTGTAGTTGTCGTGAAAAACGTGCCAACTATGGCAAATATTTTGTCTTCAGCAGAGGCCTGTCAAACGTTGTTATAAATGGAAAAAAGTCGTGTTTTTAGTATTTCGGAACAAAATTAGGAAAATGTCTCGGATAACCTTTTGCCGTAGCAAAAGGTTATTCAGTTCTCTACACTGTCCATACGAAACACAACAGCAAATAAGCAAGCTGCTATTTATAATATATTCATTCGATATCGTATCATACAATTAATACATTAAAGCAAGTTGTCTTATTTTCATCGTATTACCCATCTATACATAACATATATAACCAATAAATGTTATGCAAAAATGATTTATAGGGGGCTCTATATTTATATCGTAAAAATATCCCTATGTAATAATATATTACCTATATAAACTCCTTTGTAAAAAAAAAAACGGGGCACTTAAGCAAACAACCAATTTAATGTTTACTATTAGATAAATAATTTGACGTCCATAAAAAAATAGTTTTCGCCACCAGCGGCCAATGCGGGCTGTGCATGAGGAGGAGAATTTCTGTTATGTATCGGTGTCCAGTCAGTGTACCGTTTCCGATGAAGACTAACTCCGTACGATTCAACGAATTTACTCCAAAATATAACTGAGCCCCTAAAATAAAGTTTGATTTCTTCAAAACATGCTCCTGCAAAGCGTTCTCCTCGTCTCCGTAGCACTCGCCGACGTCAATCTTCACCATACAGAGATATCCTGGTTTCATCGAAGAGCAATCCATATCAAAGTCTCATCCGTGACTCGCAATTTCGAGCGAAGGCAAGCCTGACAACTCGGTGCTCACGGAGTGATTTAGGGCCGCGGTCTGGGCAATGACTGGGCGTATATTGGCAGCGAAAAGCCTACTCTTGACCGTCAGTAAACTAATTTGCACATTTCTTAATTTTTTGAGATTGTTCTTGGGATTCACATACTACGATTTCCGATTTCTCAATGATTGACTCACCAAAACACGATCATCCCGTGACTCTGTACATTGCTTTCTTCTAGAACCAGGCCTTTTCTTGACGGAACCGGTCTCTTGATAGCGCTGCCTGATCCTTTAGACTGTCAAACGACTCACATTTAGCCTCTGAACCAGGAAACATTGGCTGCAACCCTCCTCAAGCAGCGCAATAATTTTGCTGGCTTTTGTCACTTTATCTACCATTTTCGAGACCATTAAACAGCAATAACAATACTTTAAAATGTATGTCGTGTAATGTCAAGGAAATGCGATAATTCAATAAAAATGGACTTAAAATTATAAAGAGTCGATATTTATTTTCGGGAGTTCGCGTCGCAAAATGTGTAGTAAAAAGTTGTTTTCTTTAAAAACCATTTGGAATGTACTTTTTTAAACACCACGGCACTATTATAATCGGCCATCAACATGTTCAAATGATTAAAATCTTTTTTATAGACAGGAAAAATGTTTTTTGCAAGCGGTAAATATTTTTTGAAGAATGTATTTTTTCAATTTTATGTAGGTATATCAAAAATGTTTCATATGGCTATTTGAACTAATAAATAAGATTTGTTATTAAGTATATTTATAAATATACTTACTTATTTAAAGTAAAATCATAAAGTTACTTAGTAAAAATATTTTACATTGAAACTATTTGTAAATTTAAGATTTCTTCACAAAAGGCACCAGATGCATAAGATGAATAACAAAACGTTGTTAACTATGAAACAAACTATTAATTGAACACCGCAATCAACAAAAAACGCCTTATTCCTTACGCCTTATTAATATTATATTAGGATACTAATAAAACTTAATTTTACAGGGAATGCTCCGTGTATTTTGAACTGCAGACCACGCGGACAACAGTTCTACGCTTCATTAGCGCTGGTAGCTGACGGCACACCTTGTACTAAACCGGGATTTCGAGCTATTTGCGTACAAGGAAGCTGTAAAGTAAGTGTTTAATTTATTACTGATAATGTATTACCTAATAGCACATGAGTAAAGAAGCCGACCAGAGGCAAAACTACATACAACCGCGCTATGATAGATAGGTAAACTACTACAATCTTGAGGCGCGTGAGCACTGGCGGCTCGTCACGTACGAGTACATAGACTCGGCCCGTGCTCAAACTCAGTAAAATATAAAAAAGTGTAAATATGGTTTACTGTAGTGTATATACAATACAATTAATAATTATTATTAATAGTATATGCATTAATATTTTAACTTGTTCAAAGCAAATTAAGTTAATAAAAATATATCATTATTTAATTCTTCCAAAGACTACTAGGTAATTAGTATTTGATTATTTTTTATTATTTTTAATGTGGTATATAGATATATCATACATAAGGTCGGGGAAAAAGTTTATTTGTATAAAATTAAAGAAAAATCTCTTTGGTTGTACTGTGTGTATCTGACTGGTTTTAATATCAATACATTTAGGACATTAATAAAATTAAAAATAAAAAGTAAAATACACTTTCCCGCGATTTTACAATAGTTTTTCTGTCCGCCAAAATTAGTGAATCTAACGAAGAAATTCGATACATTCTGAAGTTTTATTACAAAAAGGGAAAAATGCGACTCAAGCCGCGTAAAAAATTGGTGACGTTTATGGACCTAATGCAATGTCAGTAAAAGTAGCACAAAGTTGGTTCAAGCATTTTTAGTCCGATAATTTTGAGGTCAAAGATGCAGCTCGCTCTGGTCGCCCTCATACGGATAAAGTCATGCCATTTTTGAAAAATTGAAGCACGATCGGCATATTAGTACTTACAACATAGCCGAGTTATTGAAGATTGACCACAAAACAGTTTCGAATCATTTGAAAAAGTTGGGCTATACAAAGAAGCTCGATATTTGGGTACCACACGAGGTCACTGAAAGAAACCTAATGAATCGTGTACTCATTTGCGATACTCTATTGAAACGTAATGTAACCGAATCATTATTATAAAGAATGATCACTGTTAATGGAAAGTGAATCACCTACGAACAGAACGTGCGAAAAAGATCATGATCAAAGGGTAGTCACGCTCCACAGACTGTAGGGAAATCTGGATTAACACACATTAAGTGATGCTGTGTATGGCGGGATTGGAAGGGCATCGTATATTATGAGCTTTTACCGTCAGACAAAATCATTGATTCGGATCTCTACTGTCAACAACTAATGAGACAAATTAGAAAAAATGGCCGGAATTGATCAACAGAAAAGGAGTGGTCTTACATCACGATAACGCCAGACCACACACATCTTTGGCTAACAATAATTTAAAATTAAAAATTTTGTACAGCCGACTTCAATATAAGTTATTTAAGAATAACTTAAAAACTATTGGTCTGACCTTGATCAAATTCATATGGGACCACACGAGAAGTACCAGCTTTCAAATAAAAAAAGAATCATCGAAAACGGTTCACCCAGAAAAAAGTTCTGAGGTAACACACATAAAAAAAAAAAACGAAAAAAAAAACATACAGTCGAATTGAGTACCGGCTCCTTTTTGGAAGTCGGCAGAAAATTGAGGGAGCTTGGTTGGCAAGTGTTAATGCATCTATTATATAGTCCTGACCTTGCACCCAGGTTCGTCAATGCGGTCAGATTTCCACCTGTTTCGGTCTCTTCAGAATTCTTTGGGTAGTGTTAGGTTAACATAAAGAGAGCACTGTCAAAACTACTTGTCGCATGGTTTTGATCAAAAATCCCAAGATAAATTAAAATGTGTGCAAGCTTGTATATGCTTGTATATAGTGAGTGCTTTCTATCAGATTATTTAAAAAAAGAAAATTTATGTTACGTTTAAAATTTAACATTCAACTAAAATGCACAAGAAATTATTAAAAACATAAAAAGATAAAATAAAAAATTTAGAGTTAATGGTTTGTAAAAAAAATTTGTCATAGAGTATTAATTAAAAAGCTAGTAAACATATTGTTTATTTAATATTATCATCTTGTGTCAACCCTAGCAAAATAGGTACAAATTTTGAACGCTCTTTCTGGTCGGTTTCTTTCCTCATGTGCGAATAGTTTTATGATGATTACAAATCATAAGAATTCTATATTCAAAGCTACTTAGATAAACTCCATCTATCGACGAATAGATAAAACCACACAATCTAAAGCCAACATTGTTGCGCCACCTATATGCAATAAACGTCCAATTTTGCTTCTTAGATACTTGATTAGAATTAACCTGAAAGCCGAAGTTGTTGTTAAACTATCTAGCAAACTGATTTGTTTACCGTATCTACACCAAAACACGAGATACTAATTAAAGAGCAAGCGTTTACTTGTCCATGCCATTAAAGTTCGTTCGCTTTCACACAGGAAAATATTTATTGTAAACACCATAATTTGTGTGTCTAGACTGTGACTTTCGAGACCGCTTCCATAATAGCAACATTTTAGAGATAATTTTCATTGCTTGTAAGATATTAATTTTAAATGCAAGTTCAATGTATTGCTAAGTACTACTGGCTTAAAAAGTGTTTAAGGGTTAATTTTCGACGATATAAACATACAACCCCTATAATATGTTAATTATAGGTGCGTATACCTACTATGACAAAAATCACAAGTTGTTTTAAAGTATTGCTTTCATTATAAGTACAGCGTGCAACAGTAGCGTAGGTACAGCGTGACTCTACCGCGTTTAAAAAAGTCTAATGGGACAAACTTAAACTAAAAATAAAAAAATATTAAAAACCTACTTGTGTTTTGATTTTCAAATATCTCTGCAATCATTTAATTATCAGCTAGAGTAAACGCGTATTGTGCCTTTTCGCTTGCTAAACATAGGGCCTTTTCAAAAATTTGCCATTTTGCAAGCTATGACGCGCACGAATTGAATTGCACGAATACGACTGGAGAGCCGTGTTCCGTGTTTGTGGACAGCTTTTCCGCCTTTAGTCGATCACCAAAGCCTTGTTCCTTAATTAACAAACTGTACCGGGTGAATATTATGAAAAAAAAAAATAACATATCATATTATCCCACTAAAGTCGCTTAAAGTGACTTTAGCGGGATGATATAAAGCCTATATACGTCACATGGCTGGGCACCGGTCACTATAATTTCATAAAGAATTGATGTCTGTCGCGCCGGCGTTTTGGTGGACTTCAAATGTCTTCGATTTTTTTTAATTTCTCAGATGTGCAGGTCTTCTTACGTTGTTTCGTCCCTCATCGCCGAGCACAAGGTAAATCAACACTTAAAATTGCAATTAACAATTTTATTGTCGTCGGCGGAGATCGTAACCTCGCGTGCAGTGAATTTACAGCGAGCTCTTAGCCCTTGAATAATCACGGCCTATTTAAACTCCCTTACTGCTCATTATATGGCGGTATAATCAATGTGTTTTGCGGCATAAGAGAAAACATTATTTCTACTTATTTCCTGAGTGTTAAAATACTGTGTTATTGGCGGAAATATCTGTTTTCATGACTTTAAATAGATAATAATTGATGGAGGTAACTCTATTTTATATGTGCCTAATGTGGAATAATCCGAGTAACGACGGGAAACAAATTCAAAGGTGCTGAATGTCTTGTACTGTGATCGTGAACCTGCCTGCGAAGAGTGAAAGAACCCTCCAGTTTATACTATACTCGTATATGTGTTGTCGAATACGTTGAAATCCTAAATAGTCCTAAATTAAAATTTAAAAAAAGAACGTAGACGATAATTCGGCTTTCTTATATAGTTTTTCTTTCTTTTTTGTAATCCTATACAGATACATTACATTTGCAATGAGGATAAGTAGGGTGCCTCAGGTCTTAGCTAGTATGAAACTGGGGAGATTTTCTCAAACCACATCAGTTACGAACAGCCGCTGGGTACGATCCATCATTAGACATAGCACGTGGAATTGCATTTAATGCTATTTACGCACAAATAACACGTACGTAAGAAATATTACTTGTAGCAGAAGTTTGAATTCAAATGTTGTTTTATGTAACGTTCGTATAGTTAACGTATTTCGTTGGTTAATTCTGTAAAGAGATCAACATCGTCATTTTAAATTACAAAATTTTAACTATGTCGAACGTTTTCAACTATTTAGTATAATAAATTGATAATGCCTTAATGCTGCAGATCCGAATAATACAGGCAGCCAACGTTCTGGTATTCTGTAAGAGCTTGGTCTTTCCTCGGTTGAACCGACCCATTTATGCTACAACCATAATATAGCTGCAGCGTAGCCCTACCACGTAAAAACTACTTACCTACTATCAGTATTCAATCAGTGGCTTATAATAAGGAAAAAAAAGTTCACTGCACATAGGCCTCCCCCATAGATTTCCTCATAGATTGCTTCATAGGGAGATATTTGCCACCCATCTCCTGATTTGTTTCCCTCTGTCACCTCTTACGACACCCACGGATGATATGGGGTAGTGGATCTTATTTCACCGCTACTACACAAACTTAGTTTAAACATTTCTCAATTACTCCTCCAAAAAACTTATTTTATGGAGGAGTAATTGAGAAATGCCGACATTTTGTAATTAGGTCATAAAAAATTACACACAAGTTGTGCGCGGCCGGCGATTATCACAACTTTTTTACTAAAACATATGATTAATATATCCTCATTAGAGTTTTGAGAACTTTTAATTTGCTTATGATATACCCAATAATAACTATTACAAAATACGAGTATAACGTTTATTGTTATTACAATGAAAGATTTTGCCAAGTCCTAGCCTTTAGGTATAACGGGAATGCGAGGCCCTTACTATGTTTGACAGTAATCGCAATAGATTGCTGAGGTCTGCCATCGATCCTTTTGAACAGCTATTTGAATTTAAACTGGCCATTATTGTTAACTGCAACGAAAATACCATGAAAATTGGAGATTACCTTTAGAAATACGAGTATATATTTTAAATGATCAAAAAAGTTATATTATATCTATATTATATTTTATCTTTAGAATTAG